GCTCTCCTGGGTTACCTCTCGTGCCGCCAACATCAACCATGGGAGTCCCTCTTCCCAGTCTCTGTTAAGCTCGACACAATAACCCCTGAGAAGCGACTTCAGTGTCTGATGAAAACGCTCCAGAGCACCTTGGCTCTGGCCGTGATAGGCACTACTACGCTAATGTTTCACACGCAACTGCTCGAGCACCTCTCTGAACATGCGTGACGTAAAGTTAGAGCCTCTATCACTCTGTATAGTGTGAGGGATACCAAAGATGGAAATAAACTGTGAAAGGGCTTTCACCACCGACCTAGTTGTGATTGTACGCAACGCATAGGCAGCGGGATACCGGGTAGACTGACACATTACCGTCAGCAGGTAAACACTCCCTGACTTAGATGAAGGCAATGGTCCTACACAATCAATTAACAAATTTTCAAATGGTTTCCCTAGAGCTGGAATAGGGTAAAGTGGAGCTGGCTTTAACACCTGATTTGGCTTCCCCGTCAACTGGCATACATGACACGTCTTAATGAAGGCTGCCACATCCTTCTTTATGCGAGGCCAATAGAAGTACTTCATAAGACGGTCATAGGTTTTTCTAACCCCCAAGTGCCCCGCTACATTCCCATGAGCTGTCTGTAGGACCAGGTCTCTAAACTTACATGGTACTATCACTTGAAACACTGGATCATCAACCCCGTCGTCAGTGTGAGAGGACCACTTCCGGATCAACAACCCCTCCTGAATAAAATACCCTCGCGATGCATTTCGCAACTCCACAGGCGTTAACACCCCAACGAACAGATCTTTCAATGTTGCATCCTCCTTTTGAGCTGCAACAAAATCACTATGAGAGAGAGATGGTGGTAAATTAGGCACAACAACAGACTTAAACTCTCTACTCTGAGAAACATCATCATTAGAGGCACGACTCATAGCCCGTGTCACGGCACAAGCTGTAAAGACAGTCAAATTCTGACCACCAACGTCACTGTCGGCTGGAATAGAAGGAACATTGTTAACAATTACAGGGGGCAGTACATCACGCCAGACACGTTCTCCAGCCAGGTTGTTACCTAAAAGAAGATGGACGCCCTCTATTGGTAAAGAAGGGCGAACTGCTATTTTTACTTCCCCTTGCACTAAATCCGACTGCAGATTAATCCTGTGCAATGGAACAGACAACTTGCAACCCAATCCCCCGGACTAAAACATTGTTCCCAGTACTAGAGTCTGCAGAAAAAGGCAATACAGACTCCAAGATAAAAGACTCAGACGCCCCTGTGTCCCTAAGTATCTTAACTGGCACTTGGTTGGAACTACCCACCAGTGAAACTAACCCATCCGTAACAAAAGGAAAATAACCACTTCCCCCAGGCACAACTGAGTCAGGTCCACCGTTTCTCTCACTGGCCCCAACAGAGCAAAGGCCTGATAGCTGAAATGGCGTCACAATGCCTTCAGATTTAACCTCGGTCTCACCCATCACAACTTTAGCAGGTCTAACAGGCTCAGATACAGCAAGTGTGACCCCCCTAACTACCTCAGTACCCTTTCTCTGACTTTTCCCCTTTAACACAGGACAGTCCCTCTTCCAGTGCCCCTTTTCCAAACAGTATCGACACACATCAGCATCATTCTTAGCCTGACTGGCAGGTGTAAACGCAGAAAACCTAGAATCTCTGCGAAAACTCAGAGCACCTCTGTGTGACTGATTGGAATGTGAATCTACTCTACTGAGTAGGTGACTCAAATGAACCCAACGAAGAAGACCCCAAAGCTCTATTGAAACGTCCAAAACGTTTTTCCTGATAAATCTGACCTGTGTCTTTTAAACTATACTTATGTGTCAAAGCAAAATCGTCAGCCACAACTGCAGCTTCCGCTGCGGTTTTCATCTTCTGCTCAAATATGTGTGTAGCGACGCGCTCCGGAAGGATGTTTCTGAACTGTTCTAAAACAATCAGGTTAGACAATTCTTCAAAAGTAGTGACTCCCACCGCGGAGCACCAACGATTAAAGTGGCTGTACAATTCCCTCGCTAACTCTGTATAAGTCTGTTTTTCTCCCTTTCTCCAGCTGCGAAACCGCAAACGATAAGCCTCAGGAACCAATTCATAAATTTTAAGCACTGCCTCTTTTACTTTGACATACTTTTTTCGATCTGGTACAGGCAAAGCAATAAACGCTTCTTGCGCTCTACCTACAAGAACACTTTGGATTAGCAACGTTCTTTCAGAGTCAGTCCAGCCACGGTCATCAGCCACACTCTCAAATAAAGAAAAGAAAATATCTGGATCTCTTTCATTGAATTTTGCCAGCAACCTAACCATGCTAGATATATCAGGGGAACGCACAGACTCCCTAGGAGCAGGACCCTCCTCCCCATCAACTGGAAGCCTACCTTCAGCACTCAGTCTTAGCCGTTCCAACGCCACATCACGTTCACTTTTTATTCTTTCCACCTCTAACTCGCGTTTAGCTTCTCTTTCCTGTCGATCTGCCTCTCGTTGAGCTTCTCTCTCTTGACGTTCTGCCTCACGTTGAGCTTCTCTCTTCCTGTTGCATTTCTAGCAACACCTTTTGTTGCTCAAACGTGAGCGCCACCTTAGAACACCCTGTCGAATGAGGTGTCGACAGTGCTTCTCCCAAATCATCCATAATTTTAGATTCAGGTGACAAATAATTCTTAACAACC